TCTTCCTCGGATGTTGGCTGTTGAAGATGGAGGCTGACCCTTTGATCCATCAGCTTTTGTACTGAGCATGAGGCATATGGGATGGAATACCCTGTTGGTCAGTTTTGGGTCACTCGTCCTATCGACTCCTCCCCACAGGTGGGACCCTTCTACACTTTTCTGCTTCCGACCCTCCAATGGGGCACACAACAAAGTGAGCTGCCCTTGGGTCTTACAGCAATAAGTATAAGCAGGGGCCTCTCTGAACACCATTCATTAGTGTTAACTATAAACAGCAGACCTTATGACTCTGGAAGCAGACACTCTGAAAAACATACTGTTAATTTCAGGGAGTGCAGTCAGTTAGAAGAGACTTAAAAGTAAAATTACTGAAAATTGGTTTTGTTCTACCTCAAACCAGGACACAAGGTGACTTCCAGGAAACAGTATTACATACAAACTATATGATTGTTGTTGCTAGCGAGCTTATACTGTCTTAATTTTATGTTTTGCTTTTATCAAAAGCTGTTTGCTCAGTGTGAGTCTGCAATATTTACTCCAGCATTTGCACAGAAATCTAGTAAATCAATGAGAGGCATGCCATTGACTGTCGGGAGATTGACTAGGAACAATTGCTCCATTTGATAATCTAGAAATTTGTTAACTTACAGGCTGCAATTAATTTTATCCATCAGCCTTACCTTGTATTTTTTGTTCAATATGCCGGTCTGCTCGCTCGCATTAGAACGTCATGCTCTTGTCTCTGTTTCTGTAGGAATGACATGTCAAGCTAGGACCTCGTATACAGAAGATGAAGTTCTTTGGGGTCACAGATTCCTCCCGGTAATGTCCCTAGAAGATGGCTTTTTCCGTGTTGATTATTCTCAGTTTCATGCTACATTTGAAGTCCCCACTCCTCCTTACAGTGTTAAAGAGCAAGAAGAAAACCGGTCCCTATCATCACTTTTGAATAGTCCTGTTGATAATAACAAAACCAGAAGAGATCAGATTTGTCCACTTGACTGTATTGATATTGCAGGAGAGAAGAACAAGCGCCCTTTTAAACTTCAGAAGATTAGCTCAAGAAAGGAAGACCTTCCAAGAAGAGCCCTGAGAATGAGTTCCGGTAACACAGAGAAGACTTGCAGTACCGGAGATCTCTTGAAAATTCAGGAAATAAGTCCCATCTGTGACGGTGAAGACAGTGATGACCAGATACAGCTGAAAGCTTTAAAAATCAATGTCGGGGCTTTGACTCAGTCTACTGGCGGTCTCGACTTACAGAAGAATCCTCCAAGTATGTGAGCTCTCGAGATGAAAATGGAAGATAATTTTCTTACAAAACTTCGAAAAATGAACTCTGATAGCCTCTCTTAAGAGCAGAGGCAACAGGAGTTGTTGCTGATAAACTGCATTCAAGGCTGCTGACCTGAAAGAATTGTCTTACAGTTAAGTCAAAATTTGGTTTTGCCACTTTCAGGGAGAACGATCCTTTTTGTGTAATTGCTTTGTACAGATCCAACCTAGGTAGCAGAATAGGACTTTGAGGGACAGTACAGTTAGACTGTTGTGCCAAAGAGATCACTGCCCTAATGATGTTTATTGGCATGCTCGTTGCAAATCTACATTGTCTTCCATATATGCAGATGCTTTTTCACGAAGCAAGGACCAGATCCTTAGTTGCAGAATGAAATGTTCAGAGAACAAGCCAAAAAGGGAGTAAAACCAGGTGAAAGGCAATCTTGTGCAGCTCAGATCTTAGACTGTTCCTAAAGTGTAGAACAGCAGAACACAGGAAGAATCTGTGATGCTGCTTGGTCATAGTCCAGTTTTCTCAGTGACCCCGTTGGAAGGTGGCCTTCCTGTGCACCCTGGTGGCATGCACCCTTCTGTCTCCGTGATTGTGGCCTGCCAGCTCCATGCCCCCAGAATCTCGTTCATTGTCGTTCAGGTAAAGGAAGTGGTTTGTGGTAGCCATTTGTGTCATTTGACTCACACAAGCTCTCAAAAACACAAGGATCATTTTACCCTGTCCAAAATTAGACCCCAGCATTCAGTCAAGTGGATCACATACTGAATTTTAACAACCGTTCTCACCACTTACTGTGAAGGGAACTTGAGATTGGTAGCTGAACTTAGTGGTATGTCTCATACCTCAACCTCATGAAATTTTAGTTTGGAGGCTTCCTGTAAATAAATAAAAGCAAAGTGCTAGATAATGCTCAGTCATTACAGGAACGGACAATAGTGTGTACACATCTCAGAGTTTTACTAATGAACGGTGAGGATCTTTGATCTTGCTCTTTTTTTTGTTAGGTTTGCCTTGTCCATTTATGTATGATTCTCAATAATTTTGTAGGTTTGACATTTATAATATGCAATTTATTGCAGGGTAGAACTCTGTTTTAATATAAATATACTAAAATACTGAAAGAAAAGGCAACACAGCTCTATAACGTGTGAAGTGTGCAGCTGAGAGAGGGTTTTCACGTTTTTCAGCATAACAGAGCATTCTGTCAAAGTGCTTCTGGTGATTTACTTAATAATGGTGATTTACTTTCAATTGTTGGATGAATATTTTAGAAGATCGTCCCTGGAATATGGCAACCTTATCTGTAGAAATGACCAAAAAGATGTCAGTGAAGATTTACCCAGAGGTGTTGGTATTTTGGTATTCAGTGTCTCTTTAAAGTGTCATACAGCTTTTTCCAAGTGACTGGCCTTTAACAAGAGGGAAAAATCCTCTTCTAGTTTTAAAACAAATCTTGCATAACTGAAACTACTGTTTGCCTTAGTGGTCATCAGGAAATAGCAAGAACTAGACTTTGGCTTTATTAGTTTTCCTGGGGTTCTGCACTTCAGAATTAATTGCATTCAGCTATTCTGCTGTCCGTCTCAATCCGTGAAAAAGGTCTTTTTTTTTTTTTTCTGGTTGTTAGTGAGCAAGCATAGTCAGAACTTGATGTGTTGTAAAATGTGATGTTTGGTAGCTCATCATATAGGGTGCTTATCACTAGCAGAGCAGTCTCCAACAGAAGGATCAAATTCTGCTCTTGTTACGTAGACAGAGTTCAGTCAAATTTAAAAGGGGTTGCTGTGGCCATATCAATTGGCGATGTGTGCCTCAATGACTAGAACGGAGAGGTAAAGTGATACAGCCAAGCCAGGGATGGCTTGGCTTTCATAAATCACTATTTCTTGCTTTTAACCTTCTGCCCATGCTGTGAAACTGGAAAATGGTATTTTGCACAGGGGTAGGATTTATTTGTTGTTATTCTTACTTGTTTTCAACATGAATTTCAATGAAATCTGTATTTTCATTTATTAAATGTATTAGTGTGAGATATTTAGATGACGACGTGAAGTCTTGATGGATGATGACTCTCCCCACTCTGCAGAACAGCCAGTATGAGCATAAAATAAAATTACATCCACCTTGGGTCTCAAGCATTCTTGCGAGTCAGTCAGCTCAGAGCATGTTTCTAACAGACACAGAATCAATGAGCGAAAGCACCCTGTATCTGCTTTTCCAAATAGTTACATGAAAGGCTTTTCCGCACATGTTATGCAACTGTCAGATGTGCAAGGCAGTAGTATTCTGTGCTGTGCATTCTGGAGGATGGTCCTAAGCTATTTTCAGTTTTCCCAGTTCTGGGCTGCTCCTCTAGATTTAGTCATGGCCTCCTGAGACTTTCCTGTAGACCAGTCTCAGCGCTAAGCAGAATCTTCACGCTCTAAATGTATTATGTGAGAGCTGGCAAGCCATATGGTGGTTTTCTGCGATGCCCACTGTGACAAAAATAATTGTTGAAATACTTTTGGGAACCCTATGGGGACTCTGTTCCTATTACATGAAGCAGAAGGATGTCTTGCTGAGACCGAAAGCTCCAGCACAGTATTGCTATTACTCCTCTTCTAGAGTTGCTCTAGAAGAGTGTAAGGAGTAGGAAAGCAAACTCTTACAAGCAAAATGACACAGCAGGGTGCCCAGAGATACAGGAGGGCAAGGAGGAAGAATGTAGTCAGCTTTGCGTGGCCCTAGGAGGACACCAAGGGGCTCCCAGTGAATGCAGAGCCATGTGACCAACAGGTTACCAATGCTACCACCAGGAGCCCGTGTCAGGGGCTGATCAGGCCCCGAACTGGAAACTGGGTGGGAGCAAACCATCCCCGAGTCCTGGAATCACACAGGATGGACTGAGCAGGAGCAGGTGGCCTAGCTCTGAGACCGCTCTGCGGCTACAAATGCAACACCGCGGCCAGGGGCTCAGGTGGAACACGTGGTCCCAGCACGGCAAGCGTCGGGGGATGCCTGCCGATGGGAACCGCCGGCTGAGACACGTGCATTTCAGACGCCTGCTGCGCCTGATGTTCAATGCTGGACAAAGAAGGTGATCAAGATCACGACAAAAACTTCCCCTGTGCCACCCAGCGTTCAGGTCTGTGCTCTGATCTGAGATCTTGGTTTGGCATTGTGCATACATGACGCACCGTAGCCTGACTGGAGAGGTGGCAGGGAGGCAAGAGGTGTGAAATGTGCTTTCAGGCTGCTAGTCTAAGGGTGAGGCAGGAGCACAGACAGAGGTGACCAGGGTTTTTCCTCCCAAATACCAGAAAAGAATTCTATCACTAAGGAAAAAGCTCAAGGGAGGCTGAAAGCCACTTTGTGACTTAGTATTTTGGTTTGCCTCCAAGTTCTTCTGTGTGGCCCAGTTTGGGGCCCCCAGGAAAGCCTGTATTTGTGCAGCCAGAAAGAAAGGCATTTTTATGCACAAAACCAAAAGCAAAAATCACGAATTTTTATGTTATGTAAAAGTGCTGATAAAGCCCAGAATTGAACATTACAGAAAAGCAAAAAAAACCACCCCAATTTAGGGAAAATATGGGGTGAAATGCTGGCAGTTTGAGGGATGTTGCAGGGCATTATCCGGTGTGGGTCAGTTATCCAGAAAGGATTATCTATTCCAGGTTATCCCAGGTGAGTTATCCACTGTGGATTATCCCAGGTGCAGCCCCTGGTATAGGTCATCCCCACGCGTGTCCCCTCATACATGTTTGCACCGGCACGTACACCTCCCCGGCCCCGCCTCCCAGCCCTCC